CGAGTCCGATTATTAGAATATTTGAAACAGTGTCCACTTAAGGGAGCTTGAAAACAATAGAAACAGTCAATTCGCTCTACGGTGTCCGTGTCTGCTTATGAGAAAGTCYGCTAAAGGTAAAGTGTGAATACAGTGTTTGTATGGGAGGAAAAATGGGGTTTTGGAAAGCTGTTCATAATTAGAGCTGTCCGCTTAAGAGAGCATCCGCAAGTCAACATTCAACTGTATGTAATGTTTCTGTGTAATCATTAATACCTGTGCCTGCTGCCAGCAAACAAACTTCCTTAGCTAATGATAAGCGAGAATCCTTGAAGTTTCCACTGTAATCACTTATAATAATTTCATCACCTTAAAAAAATAGGAATGCATTAAGCATTTATTTTTATTGGATACTCAATTTGAGTCTACTTCGTTTCATTCATTTGATTTACTCATTTGTTTATTCATTTGCATATTCATTCATTTACTCATTTTCATTAACTTGCTCATCCATTCATTCAATCATTCGTTTAATCCTTCATTCATTCCTTGTTCATTTATTAATACATTCACTTGTTCATTATTCATTCATACATTCCTACATACGTTCTTTCATTTTTTCATTAAATTCATTTTCATTCATTCATTCATTCCTGCATTTGTTCTTTCATTTTTTCATTCATTCATTYATTCATCCCTACATTCATTCTTTCATTTTTTTATTCATTCATTTCTTGTCCATTCATCAATCTATTCACTTGTTCATTCATTCATTCATTCATTCATCCTTACATTCATTCTTCCATTTTTTCATTCATTCATTTATTCCTGCATTCGTTCTTCCATTTTTTCATTCATTCCTTGTTCATTCATCAACCTATTCACTCGTTCATTCATCCATTCATTCATTCCTGCATTCGTTCTTTCATTTTTTCATTCATTCATTCATTCCTACATTCATTCATTCATTCATCCATTCATTCTTTCATTTTTCCATTCATTCATTTGATCATTTTTACCTGGTACAAGTGGTAACAGTGAGGGTGTTAATGCTCCTGATGGGTAGTGTTTTATCATCAAGTAGAATCTTCGTCCTGCAAACTCTCTTTCCTCTGGATCTACTTTAAGAGAAGGTAGGACTACTGTGTAGCTTCTAGTTAACTCCATCCCTATGATTAAAAAAAAACTACTATCAGTTGAACTCCTAAAGAGCATTAGCTAAGATATGCTTATTGGTAAGGTGTGGGTTAACTGTGGTAAGGTATGGATGAAGAGGTTGAAGTAAGATCTAGTTATATTTTTGGTAAGGGGATTTGTTGTGGTAAGGTGTGGATAGAATGTGGTAAGGTGTGGATGGGATGTGGATGGGTTGTGGGCCTAATGTGTGAATGCACTGTGGTAAGGTGTGGATTGGTTATTGGTAAGGTGTGCATTGGTTGTTGGTAATGTTTGGATGGGTTGTAGCAAGGTGTAGATGGGTTGTGGTACTACCTGTGGATGGATGTAAGTTAAGTGTGGATGGGTTTGTGGTAAGGTGTGGATTGGTTGTAGTAAGGTGTACAAGAATCATTGTACTTGCTAGCGATACCTTGTATATTTCTCTTGATATGAACATGGTGCCCAATAGGTACTCTCATCTGCACTCCAGACGGCAACTCACAACAGTATAACCTTGTGTTGTGCGTCACCTCCTGCATGGAAACTAAGGTACACTCCCAAAACCTGGAGTCTAAAAGATTGAAAACGAAACTTGGTGGTAAGATCATTCAATCAACCAATGACAACACAGATAATTGAAATGAATTGATCTTCGAGTGTTCAAATCAATATCTCATGAGTGAGTGCAAAAGAAGATAAATTTCATATCTCCAATGTGCCCATGTATCGTTTGTTATATAAACAATTATAAAACACTTATGGCACACAATTTGATTGTGTGATACGAACTAAAGCATAAACTGATTGGCTRATATTTATAGTTACGTAAATTCATCCTTTTTTTACACGTTTGTGTTTAGAAACTTTATGATACATTTCTTGGTGGTCAAAATCTCTGTAAAACAATGTTGCAATATATAGTGTATGTAATTTATTTATTTCAAATACCATTGCTTTAACATTAAAATTACCAAAATAATCAAGGGGGTACCTCTGCTCTTGTGTGATTTGAGAGAATTGTTGCCGTCAAGTGCTTTTCCTAATGTCTTCCATTCTTTTCCTGATGTAGCCTTGGTAAGTAATATATCCACCTTTCCTACGCTACTAGATACCCGAACTGGAGGAAAAACCCGCAATAAAATGTATTATGCAATTATTACTTAACAAATGCTAGTACCAATAAATTATTAATTTTTTACATGCTTTTTTTCTCTTCTTTTTATTCATTTATTCTTTCTTTCTTTGTCTCTCTTTTTCTCTCTCTACCTTTCCCCTTCTCTTTTAATCTATCTCTGTTTCTGCTTCTGTTTTTAATTTTATTGCTCCATTCTACTTTTATCTTTCCTCTAGCTCTCTCTCTCATTCTTTTATTAGCTAGATTGCTACTTTCATTCGTTCACTAATTTCATTTATCTATTTTACCTTATATTATCTCTCTCTCTTTCTTTTATTCTTTCTATCATTTAAAATCCACTCTCATTTATTCTCTCTTTCTCACAGTCTTTCTTTTCTCTTCTTTCCTTTCATTTTTTGCATGTTTTCATACTGTATTCACCCCACCATCACCCCCCTGTTTATATTGCGATCCGTATCAAAGTACCTTTTTGATCAGTAACTTTATCTTCAAGATCTGAAAAAAACCAAAGTACTGTGAATTCATTATCGAAAGGTAAAAACCAGTGCATTCTGGTCTAGCTTGGGTGTAAACTACACCATTTAAGGAATGAGAACAGAAGATGTTAGTACCCAAGCTTGACAGCAATGCATTTGCTGTCTCAGTTAAAGCCAACAAAGGTAAAGGTAAAGYACCTATATTTAACRTCGGTAGTTCCTTCAGTTGAAATTCAACTGCTATCMATGGAAGCCGACGGTGCGCACTTTACCCCCTCTCCATCAGTGCTCTGTTTTAAGAGTATTTAAARCTGAAGCTACACAGATTAGAGARAAGTCGAAACAGACGTGGAGATMCTAAGGATTGAACCGTGGASCTCAAGCTCTGAAGGTCGCGCACTAACCAACTGAGCCATGCMTGCTCCTATAAATGCATTCTATAATGCTCCTATAAGTGCATTCTGGTCTAGTAGAATACACAGCAATCTCAGCAAAATCCAAACCAGGTGCATTCTGGCCTAGCCTGGGTACAACCAAGGCATAATAAACAAAAGATGTTTGTACCCAGGCTAGACCACGATGCATTGCTATCTCAGTAAAAAACGAACAAGGTGCATTCTGGTCTAGCTTGAGTACAATTATAACTATAAGTCAATGATGAACAAAACATGTTCGTACCCAAGCTAGACCAGAATGCATTGCTATCTACAGTGTTACTTACCTAAATGAACTTCATAACTTTTTTCTCCTAATATCAAAATTACATCAAAGTTTTTCTCTTCTTTAAGTTCCATGATAACATCTTCTATGCTAAGTTCCTAAGAAAATTTAAAGCACAGATCAAATACTCAAACCCTAACAATATTGTTGTTGAAAATATACAGTGCTGGTTGACTGCTGGTTGTCATGTCACAATGTGAAACCCGGGGGGGGGGGGG